TAATAAAAAATATTTTTACTAAAACTCTGTTAAATACAATATTTGAGTGATAGATTCAATTTAATAACACACTATGCAATCTCTAAATTTTTTTACACATGGAAACAAGTAAACTTGGTTTTCGTTTAAGGAAGAGTACTGAAAAAATAATAAAAATTAGAGTTACATTTTTTAATATCTTGTAATTATTCTGAAAAATGTAGATATAAGACTTACAATTTTTTTCCGAAAGAAAATAGAATATTTTACAATTTCCGAAAAAATATATAAATATTGATTAGTATTGTTACTCTTGGTAACGATGTCATGGTCGATGGCCGTGATTAAGGATTATCCAGAGCCAGGAATGTCTGGAAGTCCATATCTGTCCGTCGACGTCGGTCTGTATGTCGTTGTGGATGCTTGAATATCGGCAAACAAAGCGCAAATTGCAACCAACAACATCACGATATATATTGCAAACTTCATGTTGTTCTGGTACAGAAATGAAAGATATCGTTATATAAATAAAAATAACACAATTCAGTATTGATTTTTCGACAAGTCTCTTTTGTTCATGCAAGTATATAAAGACAACTAATTTTTTCATATAACAACTAACTAGTGTGTGTGATCGAGGAAAGATTATTAATAAATTTGTTCTATAATAAGATAAATCAAAAATCTTTCTGTATAAAAAGCTATCTTATAATATAATTAAATTAATAATTCGTTAAAAATATAAACATAATGACAGAATAAAAGAAGTATCATCATAAAATAATTAAGTTTCTAGAATTATATAAATAATAAATCGCGATTCTTTCTTATTCTACTAAACCTTGGTCTGGTTGCAGCAGAACTCGAAGCGAAACTGCGGAGAGCCTATGTTACGGACCACTTATATATCGGCATTGTGTGAAGTATAAGTCGTGATGTTACTGTAGTAGACAGCTGAAATAGGCAACTTTTTATTGTGCGACTGAAAAACACGAGAGTGCAAGTTCCAAGTTCCGGGGAGATCCCTCAGGCTTTACCTTATCACTACCGTAACGATAGCCAGTGACACGCAGTGACCTCGTGCACTCTGTTGATGATTTATCTGACGTAATTTTAGCAATTTAAACTTATGCATTTTTTTGTACATTTGAATTTCTCGTAGAAATCTGCAAATTGGATTTCTTTTACGCGTGTGAACGCGATTTTTACTAATTGCATTCCAGTCTTTTTTTTTCACGAAGGCAGTTTTACCGTACAAATACCAACATCATCGTGTATAACATTGTTTCGATTTTTTTATTCTGTACGCTTGTATATAGTTTTTTCACCCTTATATACAAAACAGCTACTGTGTATAAAAAAAACTGTGTAGTACTAAAATTACATGAATAATACCTGAAAAAGATGTTGTGAAATAAACCGTTCAGACATGTTGGTAATTAAATGTTCCGTGCGGTTTAAAGGAAGATAGGCATTTCTATTTATTTCAAAAGAGGCCTTTATTTCACAATAAACTGTTACGGAAAGAGAATGAAATTACAAAGAGAATTTTAATTGAGTGCCAACAATACACAAAAATAAAAATCATAACCGCAATACAAAACGCAAAGAACTTTATGTAATGACAAACAATCAAGGAAACTAAACATAAATTACATTATAAGATATGTGAGAAGAGAAAATAATAAAAAAAAGATGTACTCTTACATCTAAAAGATATAATTTCTATGAAATTTTGAATTTAATATTCCGATGATCCGCCATTCGCGAATCATGTAATTAAAGAAATTCCAAAACGCAAAGAACTTTATGTAATGACAAACAATCAAGGAAACTAAACATAAATTACATTATAAGATATGTGAGAAGAGAAAATAATAAAAAAAAGATGTACTCTTACATCTAAAAGATATAATTTCTATGAAATTTTGAATTTAATATTCCGACTTGTGAGATAATATGTATCTTGGAGAGAAAGCGTGTTTTTTACATTGATTAACATTAAAAACATGATATATAAACACTGCCTCTCATATCAAATATCAATAAAATTGATATATTTTATATAAACTCAGATTGCTAAACTGGAAATTACGTTTTAATATAACTTAGTCAACTTAGATAAATATATATCGTCGAACATCGCGTGATAAAAAAAAGCTTTGAACTACAAAAAACATTATCTATTTGCAGAAGCACGTATAGCTCGCGTAAAAATTATGGGAATACTTATCTCCTAAGAATATAGATTATATCTTTTAGTGACAGAGAAGAGTTTTCACGCGACCGAAGGTATCGATGCGGCCACGGCTGGTACGGAACAGAAACTTTTACTCGGACATGAAATATAAGATGGCTGGTTCGAGGTCGTTTACTCGTTGATACGAGAAAGCTAGATAGTATCTCGCGAAGAAGCCAAGGTATTTCCTGAACCAGAGTCTCCGGTCTCACACCGACACATTTCCACTATGTCCCATTCCTCTTAGCATACGCTGAGAAAAAGCGAGTAAATATCTTGGAACAGCTAACTATAAACGATCGATTTGTTTATATTTATTATTATAGAAATAATTTAGTTAAGACATTAGTAAAGACGTTGATAGTTTTACATGTCGTAAGACTAAAATAATGGGACACTTAACGAACAACATGGTAAATTAAAAATTATACTAATGCACATATTCGTGGCTATTATTTTTTACAGACTGTTTAATAATATTATCAACTGTATGTGATAACGAAAAACAATATTCGCAAAACCAATTTTCATTCTACAATTCGATAACTTTGACTTTCTGGAGCAGAAAGATTTATGATACGATATAAATTTAATTACCATTGTTGTAATGAAAGTTACATTAAAAACAATATTTGCGTTTTGTTTATTTCGCAGAAGGATCCTTAAAAAGAATAGCTTGCCAGATAAATGATAAAAGCATATTACACTGAGAGTTCTTATTGCGTATAGAGACCACATTCTATATTTTTATCGCGATTGTATTATAACGGGCATCATAACAGTAAAATGTAATAAGCTTCCCAAATATAACAGACAATAATTACCTCTCATACTAAGTTAGTGTCCATAAGGAGCGACATTTTATAGAGTTCCGTGTGGATTGGGGTTATTACCTATACCGAACAGCTATCCCGGGGAAATATTTTATGGAGCAGTTCAGTGGTAATGAAGGTGTTTACATGCGGGCAAGAAGGCGTCTCGCCGGGCGGTAGGTAATTAGGACACCCTCGTCTCTACCTACCTACGCGATAGGCATTGCTAGAGGTAAATGCAACCGGCTGCACATGGAACTGGGCGGTGCACTCGTTATTTCGGAGCAAACATGAGCCCACTTGTATAATATATTAGTCTAATTAGCGTTATCAGATTTACAGACAACGAGGAGTCAGTCGTTTATAGGATCGCGAAAACATGGGCAACCGCTCGAATCCTGGGAGAAAATCGAAAGTAATGATATTACACGGGATATTCGCTGATTAAGGTAACGGGAATATACTTTAAACTTAAAGTTATGCTTCTCGAATAGAAATCGAAATAACAGAAAAGCGTTTATTAAGCGTATATTTGCGCATTTTAATTAGTTCCAACAAAAAATACGTATGTGATAAACATAGACTTTTCTCTTTATAATTAACGACGCTTTTTCAATGTATGTGAGAATCTGTCACTATGTGTTGAGAAAGAAATTCAAAGAAACTAGAATTACCGAAACATAAAGTGGAGAGATGTGAAAATTTCCATTAAATATTTATATTTTCAACTTTTTATTCTTGTTCTCTCTCATTATGTGCTTTTGCAGAAGGCAAAATGTTAAGACAATAATGTCAGGAACAATAATGCTAGATAAGGAGCATAGATAAAATATAGGTAAAGATATACTTTGCCATATTTTCTTTATAATTTCCTATTTTTTTATTTTTATTTATTTTTATCTATCACATATTATGTACATTATATTAATATACATCTCGAATTTTTATCAGTTTGTTATGTATACAAACATAGAAATTTGTATAAATCCTGATTTAAAAAGAAAAATGGAAAAGATCAAGAATAAAAATTTTTATATGCAAAAGTTATTACGCGCCAAACTAACGTATGCATGACATCAGCGCAAAGGAACATCGCCCTTTATTTGATTCTTTTAGCAATCGGTGGATCGAATCGGCTCTGAGAGTGTCTGCAGCGCCTTACCGCTACTCCCATAACCACCCACGTCCCTACAACCCTCTTTCCACCTGCACGATTGAACGTGAGCCCAACATCAGAATAAAACTACGACGAATTCTACCTCCATCACGTTAACGTTCCTCCTCCATCTTCTATCGCAGAGACCATTTATTTCGATCGTAACCAATGTCGTTTCGCAGTTCACTTCAAAGTGGAACGGGCTGCCTCTATCGCCATGGTAAAACGCAACGTCATTGACGTTACAAGATGATTCATATAAAAGTAGATGCCCATTTATTTGCTTGAAAAATGTTTAGTTGACACTATTAAGAAGGAGTGACATATTACATTAAATACACATTATTAGTAATATTTATTTTCATTAAAATCTTTATTTTTTACTAATTAATTCTAAATTGTTAACAATTTGGCAGAAATATATTTTTTTAGGAAGGAGAAATTTATCTCACAATCATTTAAATATATTAAAGTTGATAAACTTTATCAATACATCATGAAACACGTATGAAAATAATAAAAACAATATTCTCTACTCGAATGTTGCATTTTCTTAGAAAATGTGCGCGAGAAAGATATCATATTTTATTTATAATAATAGATGTGAAAGTAGCTAACGCTACTTCCTGTATGAAATAAAATGCAAAATTGAAATAAGCATAGAAATGGGCCGCGGAAATCTCTAAAATATGCTACAGTCTGCTGTTGAAAGGAACTGAGATACCATTGAGAACTCGCTGGTCCTTCAAAGCTTACAAAAATCATCTCCGGTAGTAAATATTCATACCGCGCAAGGCGTTGCTTTGACTCCATGTGACGAGGCATTTACCTAGTTTTGAAAGTGAGTCGCTTTATCTTCGAGCGTATTTTCATGACAGATTCTAAGCGTTTGAATTTACGAGCAGATGTGGAACTTGCTGCTGGACACGATCTCTCTGACTTTATAAACTGTGAGAGAAAGAATATTCATATATCACCATAACTTAACGAATAATTAAAGCAATATGTACACGAAAAAAAAGATATAACAAACTTTATACATTTTTGATTATTCTATTATCTATTTCATTAAAATATAACCGTCAAAAAATATAACTAATAAAATAAGTATATAAAATAATATTAATTTAATAAAAAAGAGCAAAATTAATATTATTTTCCTCTTTTTTATTAAGTGGGAAAACAAATAAGAGCGTGTGTTAAATTTTAGTAATAAATGCGTATTAGAAATGAACGTTTCGAACCGTTTTTTGGTCCATCTTCAGCATGTATAAGATAGAGATATATAAAGATATATTGATACATTAATATTTTAAAACTTGACATACACAATATTTGTTGTTGCAGTCAAATTTTAAATTAAAATCAATAATCAAAAAGGAACTGCAACAATATTGTGCATGTTAAATTTTAAAATATCAATGTAATCTTCATATATTTATATTTATGCTGAAAATAGACTAAAAACGGTCCGAAACGTACATTTTCAAAATACACATTTATTACTAAAATTTAACAATAATAAGTTTGCGCATCAATGCCCGCGCCTTGGCTCTTATTTACCAGTTTTCCCATTTAATTGTTAGTATTCTGAACCTATTGCTGTTATTATTGAATTCCTCTGCTTTATATTAAAAACAATTTATCAATTTCTTTCATGTCAATAATTAACGAGTCATAATAACAAGTTCCATTATCTGCTTGAATGAACATATATATATATATACACATTATTTACTTACCGATAGGAAATGTGACACAATATAATGCAATTTATATCGATTGTTTAGCAAAAATCTTTTATTACCACAAATATCATGTTACGCTTTAACATTTTCACCGTAATATTTATTATTTATAGTAACATTTTTTATTTATAGCAGTAATCATATTTTAATATTTTATGCTCTGCATAAGATCAAAAACATTGTGAATATTATTTGATATGAGTTTATTTATATATAAAACTCATTAAATTATCATAAAATATTAAAATATGTAGCACATAATACTGTAACATAATATATGTAACATCAAATTTTATACTGATTATTTTTGAACGTTGAGTGTTTATGTCACGAGCGAAATAGATCATCATATTATCTTGCATTGCATAATTCGCATGGAAATGCGGGTGGTCGTGGTCTGCGAAACCACGTATCTAGCTTTATTTTCTTTTGCTTCCATAGCAATTTTTCTGGTACTACGCAGGCCGCAATCGCCAATATTGACAATAATATGACGATGTACAGATTGAATCTCATGTCATATATATCTGAAAAAATAATTTTTCTTACGAAATATATATATGATATATAGAGTATATATATTTAATAAAGTATATATATAAGTATATAAATTATATAAATATATTAATCTTTTATATTGGATGTGCTCTCTGTTCTAGTCTTATTACAATGATATTGCAAAATATTATATAATAATTTCTTTAAAGTAAAGAAGTAAATCATTGCACGTAAGTCATTTACTTAAAAAAAAAAAAAACTAATCGTGATAAATTCTTTATGTATGTAATAGTCGGCAAATCAATAACATTGACTTACAGATTTCCAAACAGCACTATTGTTCGGTGAATCTTACAAATTGTTGTGTTTAATCAGAACTTTAAGATAATATTACTTCAGAACAAGGATTGAGAGATGTCCCCTCACACAAGTGATCAAAGCTTGACTAGACTAACACTTGACAGAGTTTGCAAGTCTATCCCATTCAATCTTGCGATTCCCCCCTCCCCCACAATATTAATACGCAGCGTGACAAATGCACATTTATTTCATATAAACGTCCCCTCGTGTGTATCAAGCATTTTAAGCGCATATATTTGTTCAACTTGGCCAATTTAAATCTAGCATACATTCTTAAGAATGAATAAGGATGAGTCATATATAAATTGACACGAATTCTATCCGATGGTTTATTTGTAAAGGAACCACACAAACAAACAATAATAACATATCAGAATATATGTATATCTATATTTTTGATTTTTTATGTATGTACTGTATGCATTATATAATATGTGGTATTATTTATTATTCTTTGCATCGAATCAAATCGGTGTGTAACTTTGCATGAATTTCTAATCACGTAGGAATCACGAGTGCGCATAATATTATCTGTCAATATTGAATGTCGTAGCGCCGAATAGTTGCGGTAGACAGATACACAATCAAATAGTGACGGGGGATGGCGCACACACACCGCTATACGAATTTGTTACCGCGTATCGAACAAATATGATTGCAGTTTGGATACGATAGTATGTTTCTCTCTCTTTCTCTTTAGTATGGATTATATACACGCAATATATATATTTCAATCAATACAAATCTTATCGTGAGATAAATAATAAAAACGCTCACTTCGATCAATAGAATCTTAGATATGTGCAGAATTTTCTCGCAGGTGCTCGCGACCCAACTATCCTGAATTCTCTTCGACGGACGCACGTGCATTCGTACCTACGTATCTACGGAAAAACGTGACGAGTATCATCGACTTTGGAAAACACTTTTGTCCAGGCGCACTGCAGTTTCCGAGCGACAGCTTTTGCAAGAGCGGTAGCGACCCTACGTTACGTCAAGAAGGCGCATTCGGCGCGGGAACGTCTCCTCCGGCCGATAGGAATCGACAAGCGAGAAAGAGAAAGAAAGAGAGAGAGAGAGAGTAAATGCAGAAGGGGGATCGAATACAGAGCCGTGAGAAAGACAGAGAGGTGAAACGACGACGGTCGCTATACGTGGCCTGAAACTGGCAGGCAAAGGGGGTGAGAGAGCAGTTCCCCTGGGAGCTTGCTCGGCTCCCGCGCGTTACAGCGCACCGTCTCCACGGCGCGATCTATCGCCCCATTGACCGCCACTCCATTATCAGGATAGTAATGCCGTAACCCCGTATTCGTAACCCTGCCCTACTCGTGTGTCGCTCTACGCCTTACACAGAAATCCACCGCGAGCTAGCCCTTTTGTTGGTTTATCGGAACAACCCTTTGTTACAACCGTCTGCGAGAATAATCGTGTGTAGATTCGGAAAACGCATTGATCATTTCAACGATATCTACAGAATACGCGATTCGTAAATAAAAAATAATATCTCTCTCTCTCTCTCTCTTTCTCTTTTATAATATACGTATTAAGCCAATTTTCACCACAAAAGATCCATTTATGAAAGCTGTCATCTGGATGAATTTCTTCTTGAAACAAGAACGCTAAATACGTTGCATGTTTCCACGTTCGAATTGTAAAGGCAAATATACTGTGCCGCGCTTCATGAATTTTTGATCGAAATACGTGCGTAGTCATGCGCGCATCGTGCACAGTCGCGATAAATATTTAGCGAATTTACTGCCAGCAGCACGATATTGGTTTTTTTCGCCTTTCGTTCAACGTCTACGACCGTTTGGTCTTTGTTGAAAAAAATAATCACGATAAACAAACATGCAAATAATGAAATGTTAAAAACCATATTGACAGAATGTAATTATAGTAGGAATAAGTCTTTGCATCGCTTTTAAATCGTTATTTTCATTTTAATTTCATTAATTTATAAAGTCAAGATTTTAAATCGTATTTTATCACAGTCTGTGATATTTTAATATATATTAGTCTCTTAAACTTTTTAAAAGTCATGAAGATATTATAAATAATGAGATCAATTTATATTATCGCATATTATTAAAAACGCAAAAACACGAATAATATGTGAAATATTCATGTTACAAAAAAAAAAGTAATATTTTTCTAGACTTGTGAAAACTTACGGTTAACAAATTACAAGTTGTTCACAAGCGCACCTTATAGCTTTGGTTACGAGGACGCTCGAATTAATTACAGGCCTCTTTTGACCAAACAACAAACTAGAATTCGCTGCAGCTATATAATTAAATTATATATTATTACTTTAACAGGGGTACAAAGATAACAGAAACTACAAATTAAAAAGAAAATCTGGAAAGAAAATTGTCTTATATATCATAGAATCTTTATCTAAACGTAATTTTCAAAATTATTTAATATATATTCTCTACAATACAGAAAAAAATTTAATATATACTTACATAAAGGCTCTCTTTAAGAGATTCTTTAACAACAGACAAATAAAGTAATAATAATCTTATGATAGAAAGAATGATAATATTATTACTATCAAAAAATTCTTTATTTATTTATTATTTTTAATATTTTTCTTCAAGAAACAAACGCGCGCATGTATACTTTATTTATTTTAAGCATTAGTTCTTCTTGATTTATTAGAGAGTAACAGTAACTTTCTTTCGAGAATAATATAATATTTGAAAATAATTTCCCACACATGAATGGTGTAAAAGGAATCACTTCGATCGGTCGTATCAGCGGATGCTCCATACAATTTCACGAGACGCCCTTCCAAATCGCAATAGCACGCGCGAACTTGCGTCAGAATATGTCTCGGCGTCCCTCACGGACATCGACACTCCGGTCACGTAGTGCAGGAAATCTCAACAGATAGACGCAAGCCGGAGCATGGACTCACCCCAAGCAGCTGAAATGGGAATACACCTTCGTTCCTGGTGCTAGAAGACGCCCGACAGTTCGACCCTATCGCAAATGAGGGACCGTGTCAGCGACTTTTGTGATGAGATGCGCGTATCGTTCGAGGCATTCCGATTTTCGTATTTACGCGATATCGCACGATAACAGCTCTTTTACGATAGATAATTTTCTATTCTTTCTTTTTCTCTCTGTGTGCGAGCTTTTCTTCAGTTTTTACAAGTCGTATTATTTCTGAAATAATTTTAACCGCCGCTAATTGTTCTTTAACTTACAGCAAAATACATAAAGGAAAAATTCATAATCGTTTTCACATTAGAGGGGAAACTCAATACTCTCGGTGAGACAGCGATTAACACGATTTTATTTAATCAAACTTTAAAGAGAAAGATTTATTGACCATGTCATTGTCTTTTATGATCCATTTCTAAAAGCCGATATTTCAATCTATGTATACGATGTGACTGTTATGGAACCCCTAAAGCCGTAAATAATTCGGGATGTTCAGAAAATCATCGATATTAGCTTATACCCTCATCACATTTAATATATAGCCGTCTAATAATAGCTCATCTCATGAATATAGTGAATACGCTCTCTACAAGTTTGATTTGAAAGAATCGAACCATGTAGAGACGCGGCGAACAATGCTTCTCACTATTGCAGAATTGCCTCCGTGCATGCGACTTTTATTAGATACATCGTGAACGCTTTATTTTAGCGAATCGTGCAGAACCATCGTGCTTGCATGTCCAGGTTTATGATCTCCTGCTGCGTTCCTTCCTTTCTCATGCGACCGGAATACGTCGGTGAGACATTACTCAAAGTAAAACGTGAGCGAGATACAGCTGCGGCAGCCCGTCGACGATTTATAGCGGGACAAATACAGATGGGGAACTTTTCGAGGCGTAAGACGTCGGAAAAATGCTTTCGGCTTTCGACAGGCTTTCTATATCGGCCGTCCTACCTCGCGTCCGTCGCGTATGTAAAGTAATAATGGGAAATCGAGCGAGAATATGTCCGTTCGATTTCTCATGCAACAGATACTATCGTATCGCAGAGAGAAAAAGAGAAAGAGAGAGAGAGAGATCAGAACAAGCTAGCATAAAAATATCACGACGAGTAAGGAAAGGAAGCATATGTTCGCTGGAACGCCACTTCAACGTACTGTCTATATACGAGAAGTTTGTTAGAATTCAGATTAAAAAAAAAATAATAAAAAAGTCAAAGTCATAACACACACATACACACATATATATGTATACGTGTATATATATTAAGAATTCTCTAGCTTATTTTTGTGCTAGGTAAGAATAGGTATTCTACTACTCCCTCATTAATATGTAAAAGAGATTTGCGAAGCTAAAATGAAAAGAGAATAAGAGAAAATTTATAAATCAATATCAAAAAAGTTATAATTAAATATACGTACTTTTAAAAACAGAACATTTTGATAGGGCGAAAAAAATTAGCCAGGCGAAAAAGGCGTAACAAAAACTATTTAAAATTTCAGGAAATATTTCACATTACGCACAATGTGAATTAAACAAAATGATTATAAAACGAACTGGAAAAATATGATAACGTTTTTTATTAAAATTTTCTATTAAAAATCGTACAACTGAATAAATGAAGTTTAACGAAATATTATTTTGCATATCTTTAATAAAATGAAATATCAACAATAATTGTATCCAATTTTTTCAACATTGCTCGAATATATATCGATATTATTCTAAAAATATTTTTCTCTACATTTTATTATATTATGTCGACAGAATTTCAAAACAATGTATATTTTATAGACTGCCAAACATATATATGGCTATTTCTATTGAGAATACAACGAGTGACATAGAAAATCTTCTTCAAACCCCCATATTTCTGATTTGTTACTCCGTAACTTCTGTCTATTTGAATCGTTGAAGATATTTGACAACTTTCAATCGGATACTGGATAAAAATGCAGTGCCATAATTTCGCAATGGCAAGAATATCGACCGAAATATTTCTTTAAAAGCAAGCTGCGAAAATCTTTAGACCATTATTTATTTTGTCACTTTCTGATGACTATATATAGCAGTTGCGCTGTATTAATTAAAAAATTGAAAGAATATAAATGCCTAGATGTACGATATACTGATATACATATA